GTCGGGATGTCTGGTGCATCCGGGTCTCCCTCTGGTGCAATCAGCATGGCCACGAGATGAGGCGCAACAGCTGCAAGACACTCAAAGTCCTCCTGCCTGTCCTCAAGGACGTCCGTGCCAAGAGCACACTCACCCCTGACGGACGGAGGACAGACAGACTCAGACTCAGCAACAAGACTAGCAGCGTAGTCTAGACGACAGGCAGCAGCAAAGTCAACAAGCTCAGCAACTAAGGCAGACGCAGCAGCAGACACAAACGACGGGTCAGTCACAACAGTGGCGAGTAGACGCGTGACAGTAGGGTGAGCAGCACGAACCAGGTCAGACTCAGGGTCCTGAACGTCAGGCAGAGAAGACGCAGGAGGAGACGGTAGGGGAACACGCTGTGGAACAGAGGAAGGACGAAGTGCCATAGTGTGCGTGCCAGGGACACGAGGCGGACGCTCAGGAGGAACACGACGACCAGTGCGACGCGCGCGAACAGGCGAGGCAGGACGAGACGCAAGCTCACGACGCTCTGTAAGCAAGTCTGTCTGCTCAGTGTAAGGAGAAGGAGCAGGCAGTGGTGCGCCGGGCTGTAACGGGAGGCCAGTAGAAGACGGGAGGCTAAGAACCTGGCGACGCACGGAGTCAGGCGGTGGCAGAGACGACGGTGACGGCGGAGCGAAAAACAGTCGCGGCGGTGCAGTGCCACCAGTACTAGTAGCTCCAGCGCCTCCAGCAGCTCCAGAATCACCAGCTCCAGCGCCTCCAGCAGCAGCACCTCCAGCTCCAGTGACTCCAGCAGCAGCACCTCCAGCTCCAGCACCTCCAGCAGCTCCAAAACCTCCAGCACCCCCAGGCTCCGCACCCCCATGCACCTCACGAACGGGCTCAGCACCCCCAGACTCCGCAGCCGCAGGCTCAGCACCCCCAGGCTCTGCACTCCCCAGCACCTCACGCGCAGGCTCAGCACCCTCAGAAGCAGCACCCCCACCAGCACCTCCCGCAGCAGCACCTGAGTCGCTAGTGACCTCTACAGGCTCAGCCAAGGGGGGCGGGTCCACCTGAGACACACCTGAAGGAGCAGGACCCTGAGGGGGGAGGGGGTTTACCAGAGGGGGGCCTGGAGCGAGGAAAAGCGGCGGGGGAGGGAGAGGGGCAGTGCGATAGGGGAAGAGACGGTAGAAAGGAACCGACTCGTCAAAGGTGACGTCCTGAGAGGGGAAGACACGGCGCGAGGTGGGGTGGTAAAACTGCCAGCCAGGCGCGTCAGGGGGAAAGCCAAGGAAGACGCAGGGAATGGCGCGAGAGGAGAGCTTGTCCGCGGACATATCGCGGACAAGGGCACGAGCACCCCAGACCCGGAACACCGACACATCGCCAACCCCCCCCCCCCCGTCCAACGCAGTGTGGGCGAGGTCTCCGTCAAGGAGACACGGAGCCAGAGGTTGAGCTCTGCGCGGCGTACCGGACCGCAAACGGCCACAGAAAATGGGGAGCCGTCGCATGAATCAAGGAGGTACGAGCGACCTCCAGGACTAAGCCAATGCGGCGCATAGCAACCCCATTTTGCTGTGGTGAGCCCGGAAGCGTGAACGACTGCTCGATGCCCTCCCCCTTACAGAAGGCCCGCAAGAGGTCGGAGGTGAACTCACCACCTCTCTCAGAGTGCAGACGCAGGACAGGAAGGTCCTGGCGGAACCTGCGGTGGAGCTGGAGACGAATTGCTCGGATCCAAGGGATCAGGACAGCAGGGACCTCACCCTTGGTGCGCAAGGGGAAGACCGTGGTGTATTGCGAGTTGTCGTCGACAACCAGCAGAAAGTACCGCTCACTACCCTGTCCACGAACGCGGGTTGGGCCCCACACGTCTAGGTGGAGGGTCTGCAGAGGAGCCTCTGTCGGGGGAAACGAGGAGGAGTGAGGAGCGGCGCGCTGCCGCCCCTCGACGCAAGGAAGGCAGGGCGGCGCAGGCGAGGCAGGGAGGGGAGGGAGAGACCTGGGAAGACCAGACACAAGGAGGCAATGGTGCATGCCACGTAGACGTGGTAGGGAGGGGTGGCCCAGTTGGTGGTGCCAGAGAAGAGTCTGGTGCGAAAGGGAGCGACACTCACAAGGGGAGGCTACCTGACCTGACGCAGAAACCTGACCAGTAGCAGCTACCTAAGGAGGCGCAGTCGTCAGTGTTTAAAGAGTCGACCCTGGCCGACGAGTAAACGTGGCCAGGTGGCCGCCGGTCCGGGAGCACGTACAGATTGCCACACGCTGTCCTCCAGGGGTAAAGGTGTCAACCCACTAGTCTTGGAGAACTGCGTTGCTCACCAAGTTCGTGGAGAACGAGCGGAGGTGGAAGCCTGTCAGTGAGCCAGACGGAACCGCCGGGCACGGAAGCATAGTGGTGGACCGTGCAAGAACTGGGACCCCTGAGGGGTCAGCCAGAGAGACTGCATTAGGTGCAGGGAGTGGTGTGAGTGCAGTACTGTCACGAAAGAAGCAGCGGGAAGCACCTGAGTCAAGCGTGAAGGTGTGCAAGGCCTTAGCAGGCGCAGTACCTGAGGAAGCAGACTTGCTAGCACCTAAGGCAGCAGCCTCACTAGCACATAGAGCAGCAACCTCTATACCGGGGTCGTACTGCATACACAGGTGACAGTCACTCTCAGCACCACCAGGCAAAGGAGACATGGCAGTAAGGATGGCATCATAGTCTAAAGCAAAGACAGCAATGCCTGACCTAAGCAGCTCAAGCCAGGGGGGGATCTCAGCCTCGTCGCCAAACTCTGTGCACCAGGCGTCAGTCAAATAGGCAAAGCAGCAGGACTGTGCGTGACTAGGTGTCCCACAGGTCTCACCAGCTCGACGACCTGCGCGAATGACATACGGGCAACGACCCAGACTCGGAGACGGCCCACGCTGGTAAAGCCACTCACGAAGCTGCCGGGGCGTAAGGGTCGGACGCCGCCGTAGCTACATCTGGCCTCCGCCAGACACTCCGCACCAAACAGCGTCACAGTGACTGCTACTACGGCCGCCACCACTCCCACTCCTGCCACCACCGCCGTCACCACTCCCACCGGTACGACAAAGTTAAGTCATGGCGGGCAAGCTAGGAGGAGCGCGACCTCTAGGGCAGTACGGAGTGAAGGCAGTAGCACGAGTAGGAGCAGCAGCAGTAAGAGCAGCAGGGCGACGCGCGGCCAGAGCAGGGCGGCGCGCGGCCAGAGTAGGGTAGCGCGCGACCAGAGCAGGGCGGCGCGCAGCCACAGTAGGGCAGTAGCAGGCAGCAACAGGCAATAGCTCCTAGGGCAAAAGCACCTAGGGCCCCTTTTTTTATTATTAATATTTTAATTTTATTTAGGGTTTAGCAGGGCGCTGGCGCAGGGCAGGGCGTTGGCGCAGGGCAGGGCGCTGGCGCAGGGCAGGGCGCGGGCGCAGGGCAGGGCGCTGGCGCAGGGCAGTGCGCTGGCGCAGGCTGCAGCAGTGCGTGACGCGAGGGGCAGCAGAGCGCGACGCGACGGGCTGCCTTAGGGCGCGATGCGCGGGCTGCAGCAGAGCGCGATGCGCGAGGCAGCAGCGCGCGACTCGTGGGCTGCCGTAGAGCGCGACGCGCGGGGCTGCAGCGCTCGACGCGCGGGCTGCCGTAGGGCGCGACGCGCAGGGCAGCAGCGCGGGCGTAGGGCAGGGCGCAGGCGCAGGGCAGGGCGCTGGCGCAGGGCAGGGCGCTGGCGCAGGGCAGGGCGCTGGCGCAGGGCAGGGCGCTGGCACAGGGCAGGGTGCTGGCGCAGGGCAGGGCGCTCGTGCAGGGCAGGGCGCTGGCGTAGGGCAGGGCGCTGGCGTAGGGCAGGGCGCCGGCGCAGGGCAGGGCGCTAGCACAGGGCAGGGCGCCGGCGCAGGGCAGGGCGCCGGCGCGAGGCAGGGCGGTGTCGCAGGGCAGGGCGTGCGCGAGGCAGCGCGACGCAAGGTAGTGGGGTAACGCGGTAACCGCGGTCGGAAGCTAAGTATGGTGGGCCCGGAAAAAAAAAAAACGGTTCTACGGACCTACTGCTCTGAAACCATGTCAAGATAGCAAGCAGGGATGATTGCATTGAATGAAATGTGGGTACAAGTACTAACCCTAACTTCGGGTTGTACCCCATACGGGCTACCCCACTATAGCCTACATAGAACTAACACATACGGTATATAGTTTGACATCTGTGACTGTGCTTGTTGTGTTCGTGCGACATCGTTTTACAGGGACGTTAGTACTGCCGTCAGTGCCGCGATTTCCTCGGAATTTTCGCACAGCTGTTCGTTCAGACGCTCCTGCGTGAGACTCGTGACATTGATGTGCTCGGCCATGTCGAAGGGTGTCGGCTCAGCTTAGTTATAGGCGCAGTCGTGGCTGCACGTGTTAACGAGAGAACGCGAGGACAGCGGCTCCTAGGTGCTAAGAGGCGTGAGTCCCTTCGAGCAAAAATCAGAAGTTGATTTCTCTGGGTGCGGAGATGCGCGGTCCGAAAAGGAAGGTGGCTGTGAATACCAAGTATTACAGGTGCAATGGAACGAGATAGCAAGGATTGCACTATGTGGGCAAAGATACAAAGTATGAGCGAAGGCGTGAGCAGTTACTTATGTGCGAAACATGCAACGGTTACGCGGTGCGTGCGAGCTAGCTAGTGCTAGGCTCGCATCGAGGTTCGGGCTAGTCCCGAAGCGTAGGCCGACTCGGCCGGAACAGTGGTGCATGGTTTGGTGAAACAGTGTGCGCGAAGTTGGCGAAGCCCCGTTAGCATTAACGGGCGAACAACGGCTGCTGCTGTAGAAGATGTTGACGGTCGCGGAAAGGAATGTCGAGAAAATTCCTTACATTTAGTCTAGATATTCGTGTGCTTTGTGCACTCATACAATATTGAGCCCCATATTTTACAATTTGCATGTTTTTTCCCTTCGGGTTCTACCGTGCTCACTCCTAGCGCCACACAAGCTTGGTTTTCTCTCGGTCGGGAACCACTCCGCGCACATCCCATTCAACGTTTTCCATGGCCAGCCCACCGCACGCCGCCGTCTGCCGCCTCACGTCCACCACCCGTTTGAACCCCCACCGTCCGGCCAATCCCGCAACGCGTTCGTATCCAGGGCTCTCACTGCCCGCAGCCTCGTCGGTCGCCCCTCTCTCTTCCGTATCGGCCCTCCCCTCCTCCGCTCTCGCTCGCACTTCTTTCTCGCTATCCCCTCCGTTGTGCCCGTCGGTAACGTTCAATTCGAGTCTTAATGGCCTTGCGCCCGTTTCTGGAGATTTCAAAAGAAATCCCGGTCGGTCATTACGGAGGGTGCACGTGGCGAGAGCTGAGGGCGGCCGAGGCGCGGTGAGCGTAACGACGACGGTAGCGGATATTCAGGCGGAGATCGCGGAGCTCGAGGACGAGCTAGAAACGACGTTTGGGCGCGGTGAGGCAATGGCGGATGGGCGATGGGCGATGAATGAGGGAGACGTGATAAATAAGCGGTCTGCATGGTAATGTAGGTCAATGTCTGTGCACAGGCCACGCGGAGCGCACTTCACATGCCCATCCCCGCCCCTTCCCGTCATCCATCCGCCCTCGCCGTCCCCCCTCTCCGTCCGTCGCCCCCTGCAGTGGAGGCGGCGTGGCGGCGCTACCACCGGCTGAGGGCGGCACTGGAGCGACTGGACGAGGCGGCAGCGAGGGAGAGGGGCAGGGCGGCGGGGCAGAGGGGAGGGCGTGCTACTGCCGCCGGTGCTAATAGCAGTGGCAGTGGCGACGGCGGTGGTGCTGTGCTGTCGACGCTAGAGCGACTGGGCGTGGAGCGACAGCGAGTGCTGCATGCGCTGACACGTGCTGAGGCCCGCGCTGGCGTGCTGGAGCGACTCGTGCGCAGCCTAGCGCAGGTGCTTGCTCCCGTATGCACCCTGCACTTGGATGTGTTTCCACGTGCTCATTGCCTTCCTGCACGTGTCATCTCACACCAGTTAATGTGGCCTGCCTGGCCTCACAACGGTGTCCACCCCGTGTCTTCCCTCCCTGTCCTTGACATGTCTGGTTGGAGCCTGGGCGAGGGGTGCCAGCAAGGGGTGAGACTGGAGAGGAAAATCGGGAGTGGGCAACAGTTGTGAGACGAGGCGTGGGAAGAAGTTGCGTGGGAAGAGGGGGCGCACATGGCAGATCTCTTTCCTCCCCATTCCCCCGTTTCATCCTATCCTCCCATCCCTCCCTCACACGCGCAACAGGCCATTGCAATGCGCGAGCGCCGCCTTCTCGGCTCGGCATCAGTGACCCGCACCCCATCCACAGCAGCCCTGCAGCGGCCGAGGCTGCCCGCAGCACGGGGCAGCAGCAAGTGGAGTGCAGCAGCAAGGGGCCGCGGGCAGGGGAGTGAAGCGCAGCAGCGGCAGCAGCGAGCACAGGGGCGGCGGGAGAGGATCCTGGGGATGTACCTGGGGGAGGTGCAGGGGCTGCAGGAGGAGGTGCAGCGCAAGGTGGCTCTGCTGGAAGAGGTGCTGCTCGCACGCGAGGGGGAGGCGAGGAGGGATGAGCGCTTTGAGGCGCGTCCACGTGGGAGTGGCAGTGCAGGGAGGGAGGCGGCAGGGCAAGCGGTCGGGAGTGGTGAGCGGAGATGGAGTGATGCTGTGAGTGGAGCGAGGGAAGGTGGGCACGGGGATGGGGGAGAATATAAGGGGCAGCAGAGCAAGGCAGACGGGCAGAATGGGGTTGATCAAGGCGGGTGGGGGAGCAGTGGGGAGGAAGGAACGGGTGAAGAAAGGGTTAAGTTGCAACAGGCAAGGCAGCTGCTGGTGCAGCTGCAGGCACTCGAGAAGAGGTGCGGCTCCATTGTCCTGGCTCCCTTGCTGCCGTTTGTCCATCTGCAGTGTGCATGTGTCTTGGTGTGTGCATCGCGCACCTACACTCTGTCTCCCCTATCGCGCTTGCACTCTTTCACTATCGCCGTTATGCCCTTGTCACTATTGCACTCGCACTCTTTCCCCCCCGCACTTTCCATGCCATTTTCACCCCTTTCTTGATGTGCCACTTCCTTTTGCTGTGTTTTGCAGCTTACATTCCAAACTTGGTCGATGACAGAAACGTCCTGTAGCTGTTCTTTATTCCTGAGACAAGCTGTAGCTTTTCCAAGCTGTAGCTTTTCCTGAGACCTGCATCATGGTTTGACTGAACTAAACATTCTGAACGTAGTCTCATTCCTGCATACCGTATGGCCCCGGATATAAGCACCGTCCTATTAAAGGCGCCGGCGCTTCTATCTGGAGCATGGCGCTTATGGCCGATACTCGATTATAAGCGCACCCCCTTTGAAGTCTAAACTTATTACCGTATAAGCACATCCCATTTTACATTCATTTTTTTTTTACATCCCTAAAACACTAAATGTGTTTTGCTAAGCCTACCAAGATTGTAATGGCTCTAACAGTTCCAACATTTTTATGAATTTCTAACAAAGGCCACACACCTCGGAATTTGGCCTTTCTCTCCGGAATGATGCATTAGGTCAAAGGGGAGGGGGTACAAGTGAAATTATGTACCCCCTAAGATGCAACTCTCTATAGGCTAAATAACTACATAACATAACTTTGACACACCTGTCAAAATAGTAGGCAGAAACTAGAAACAGGAAAGAGGGGTTTTCACTAGCAGGCAGTGAGTACATATAGCAAACCCTAATTCGGGCTGTACTCGCTATAGAGTACCCCACTGCACGCTAGACAAACATCACATTCTGACACACCCCCATAGTCGAAGTGGGATATAATCAGCACAACAACAGGCAGAGCAATAGTTCACAATGATAAGCAAAGCTATCACAGAGGGCAAGTGAGGAGGAGGAGAAACTGTGGGGGCGAGAAGATGGGAGGCGACGGCTGAAGCTGCAGACACACGGGCAACAGGAGTGCGCAGCACTGTGGCTACCAGGCGCAGAGCCCTGGACTACACGCCCACACTGTGGCTACCAGGCGCAAAGCCCCGGACTACACGGCGACAGGCGCAGCAGGCTCTCTGTGCTCCTAGGAGTGCGCAGCACTGTCGCTACCAGGCGCAGAGCCCCGGACTACACGGCGACAGGCGCAGCTGGCTCTCTGGGCTACCAGGCTAAACCCCGGACTACAGGTGCTGCGGACGACAAGACAGCTGCCTCCACTCAACTTTCCCCAGCTGTCCTACACCCCTTTCACACACCCTCTGCTGTACCCCTAGCACTCCTCACACGCCACCCCCCTCGTACCACTCCGACGGCTCCAACACTTCCACCCCCGTCAGCGTCAGCTGCAGCAGTGGGAGACGGAGGAGGAGGAGGAGCAGGGGACGGCGCACACACCCGTCACCCCCATACTCGCCACCCCCAAACCCTAACAGAGGCAGGAGCGGGGTGGCGGTGCGCGGGCAGCAGCTCGGGGGATGGGTGCGACTCCCCAGGGCGCCACGACGGGGCAGCGGGGGGGCCGCGCGCAGCTCCCTAGGGCGCCGCGACGGGGCAGCGAGGGTCGCGCGCGGTTTTCTAGGGCGCCGCGACGGGCGGCGTCGCGACGGGGCAGCGGGGGCGACGCGCAGGCCTGTGGGGCGACGCGACGAGCTCCCGGGGGGCGACGCGACCGTCGACGGGGGGCGACGCGTGGGTCGACGGGGCAGAAAACCGCCGCGCGCTCGCCGCGCGCCCCGAGCGCGCGGCACGCAGAAAACGTCGCGCGCGCGAGGCGCGCAATAGGCAGGACAGCAGCGGAAGCTAACGGTGGGCCCATCCACAGGATCGACCCGGGAGGGTCGACCTGCTCTGATAGCATGTCAAAATAGTAGGCAGAAACTAGAAACAGGAAAGAGGGGTTTTCACTGGCAGGCAATTGAGTACATATAGCAAACCCTAATTCGGGCTGTACTCGCTATAGAGTACCCCACTGCAGGCTAGACAAACATCACATTCTGACAACACCCCCACAGCCTAAGTGAGGGGCATCAAAACGAGCAAGACTAGCAAGTGGTCACAAGACCAGTCAAGAGAAGAAACACAATAAGCTCAGGGTGGATCACAATGTCACCAAACAGTCCAAGCACAAGCATCGGCCACAAGGCCAGTTCAAGAGTTCACAAGTATATATAATTGCAAGTACAAGCAACAATCAAGGGCCTGCCTCAAGAAGGCCTAACTGCAGACAGAACCTGTGGCGGTCACGAGGCGGAAGTGCCTTGGTGAAGATGTTTGGTTGGCCACTAATGCCACAAAGTCCAAGCGTGCCTGACCGCGTCGCTGCAACTCTCGCAGGAGAAAATACCTAACGACGATGTGCTTCACTCTGCTCTCCGGTCGAGGCTCTCGACACAGGAGAATCATGGCCTTGTTGTCAGCGAACAAGGTCGGTCCAGAGCGAGGCCGCTCACCAAGGTCGGTGAGCAAGAAAGTCAACCAGCGAAGCTCCTGCGCAGCCATGGCACCGGCGTAGATCTCAGCCTCAGCACTGGAGGTAGCCACAGACGACGACCGAGTAGACCGCCACGACACAGCTCCAGCACCCAAACTGAAGCAGTACCCCTGAGTCGAGCGCTGAGTCTCCACGTCATCGGCGTAGGAAGAGTCGCAGTGACCGGTCAGCACAACTGGCTCTGTCCCTCCAAGGACAAGCCCCATGCCTGATGTAGTCGCCACGTACTTTGCCACCCTCACAGCAGCCGACCAGTGAACAGGACGGTGTCTCCCAGTCACAACAAAGCGAGAGAGAATGCTGAGGGGAAATGCGAGGTCCGTTCAAGTACAAGTCATCAGGTACATGAGGCAACCCACATGCTCTGCGTAGGGACCACTAGACTCAAAGGGCTAGTCGAAAAAAGGGCCAGTGAGTCGGTGGTCAACGGCAAAAGGAGTGGGCTGTGTGGTGGAGAACTGAAACCCGAACCGCCGAAGGACCTGCTGCACCATGTGTGACTGCATCAGTGTGATGGTGCGAGCGGCTCTGTCTCTGGTCATCTGCAGACCAAGGTAGCGCTGCAGTTCACCGAGGTCAGTGCACGTGTGTATCTTCTGCAGTTCGGAATTCACCTCAGCCCGAGCTGCCGTGTTTGCTGTAGCATAGACCAAGTCGTCGACATATACAAGTATAAAGAAAGGAGTGGGGCCAGCGCGAACAAACAGCGATGGGTTGGCAGTAGATGGACGAAACCCAAGGTCACAAAGCGTGGACCAAAGAGTGTCGTGCTACTCGCGGGGCGACTGGCGAAGACCGTAGACTGGTCGCCTCAGGCTCCACTAGATCCTAGGTGGGAAGGTGTCAGTGAAGCCAGGAGGACGCCGCAGCCGTATCTCCTTGTGTAGGCGGCCCTGGAGAAACGCAGTTGAGAAGTCGCGGGAGTGCAGCTCGTAGTCTCGCTGTGCTGCTACGTGCAGTAACACCCGAAGAGTAGTCATCTTCGGGGTCAGGACGAAGGTCTAGAAGAAGTCAGCCCCCTCACGCTGACTGAAACCCCTAGCCACGTAGCGCGCATTGAACACAGGCGGTGATCCAGGCGGCCGCTTCACCTTGCCCACTCCCCTGACACTGCCTCACGGTACGTGCGAAGGGTTGGTATGTCAAGGGCGTCGGGGTCTCCCTCAAGGGATACCAGCATGGCACAAAGTGAGGGAGAAGCGGCTGCCAAGAACTCAAGCTCAGTATGCCTGTCCTCTAGGACGTCACAGCCAAGGGCACGCTCACCCCCGACAGAAAGTGGATGGAAAGGTGGAGCTGGCACCACACGCGTGGCGTAGTCAAGGCGGCTGGTGGCAGCAAACTCAGCGACAGCGGCAGTGAGAGCTGAGACAGACGCTTGAGAGAAACGAGAGTCGGTGGCAAGAGTGGCGAGAACACGGGAGACAACAGGGCGAGCATCACGGTAGTAGTTTAGAGATAGGGGTGAGGGATATAGGAAGAGATTACGAAGGAGGAGACACGAGAACGAAAACACCAATGGAGAATGACGACGAGAAGAACAAAAGAGGGCAGTGCGGAGGTCGGTAACGGGGGAAGAGAGACGAGCACGCGGAGGACAGGGACGGATACGGTAGTGTGGGACAACAGGAGGAGAAGACGAGGACCAAGGAGAAGACCAGACAGCAGGAGGAGGGAAGACCAAGGGCCCAGAAGCCACTCACGGGCGGAAACAACTGCCGCTCCAGAGGGAGCTGCTGCGGCTGCCGCCGCCGCTGCTGCTGCTGCTGCTACTACCACTCCTGCTGCGGCTACTCCTGCTGCTCCACCAGGTCCAACTGCCGCACCTCCTACCTCTCCCTCTCCAACTGCTCCTGCTCCTCACGTGCACGCCTGCGGGCTCCCTGGAGATGCGTGTCGTGGCGGTGGGGAGACTGAGCGGGCACTGCAAAACTAGTGTCTCCAACTCCAGTCCCCTTAGAACTAGCACCCCCAGTACCAGTGTCTCCAGAGGTAGCACCACCAGTGTAAGTGCCTCCAGCTCCAGCACCCCTGAACTAGCACCTCCAGTGCCAGCACCTCCTGCTCTAGCACCCCCGGAACTAGCACCTCCAGTGCCAGCACCTCCAGCTTCAGCACCTCCAGCTCTAGCACCCCCAGAACTAGCACCACCTGTGCCAACACCTCCAGCTCCAGCACCCCCCGAACTAGCACCTCTAGCTCCAGCACCCCACGAACGAGCACCCCCAGACCGAGCACCTCCAGTGTCAGCACCTCCAGCTCCAACACCCCCAGAGTCCATAGTAACCTGTCGCGGAAGTGCTAAAGGCTACTGAGGGGACTGGAGGAGGACTGCGGAGAGGGAGACGCTACCTGATGCGCGACCGAGCGGAGAGGGGTAACGTGAGACACACCCGACGGGGCAGGACCAGGGGGGGGCGGGGGTACCGGAGGAGCGGGAGCAGGAGGAGGAGAGGGTGCAAGGAAAAGAGGAGGAGGGGGGACCGGGAGTCCTCGACAGGGGTACCGGGTGTAGTAGGACACTGACTCGTCAAACTGGACGTCACTGGAGTCTAGGAACTGGTGGAGGGGCGGGTGGTAAAAGGCGTGGTCGGGAG